TTTTCGATTTGCAATTTTTTGCTTTTACAGTGCTCTGGTTTTATGATTTTTGTTTTTTTTTTTCCAATGTAATATTTTTCAATTTTTGGATTTTTCAGTTTCTCGGTTTTTCCACGTGTAGATTTTTAATTATTCAATTTTGATTTGCAATTCTAGTTTTCATTTTGAATATTTAAAACCACTTATAATTTTTAAAATTTTTGAGTTTTTCAGTTTTCCGATTTTAAAATTTTTCCATTTTTTAAATATTGTTAAACTTTTTCATTTATTCGATTTTTAATTTTTGAATTTCTCGATATTAAATTTTTCGATTTCACAAATTTTGGGTTTTCCATTCGATTCATTCTTCTTCCTCCTTCCAATTTCTCGATTCATTAATTCTTTCCGATTTTCAAGTTTCTCGATTTTTAGTTTTTCAGTTTTTCATTTCTTGAATTTGGTTTTATAATGTTCTGATTTTATAATTTTTGTTTTCTTTTTTTTTCAATGTGATTTGCAATTGGATTTTAGAATGTTTCCATTTTTCAATGGAAACATTTAAAACTTTTTCATTTATTCAATTTTTCAGTTCGATTCGTTTTTCTTCTTTCCAATTTCTCGATTCAATAATTCTTTCCGATTTTCAAGTTTCTCGGTTTTTAATTTTTCAGTTTTTCCTGAATTTTTCTGTTTGCAGTTTTTCCTTTTTTTTTGGATTTTAAAACAGCATTCGAGTTTGCATTTTTAGATTTTGCAGTTTTTCGTTTCGGTTTTTATTTTCTTTATTTTTACAATTTTTGGATTTTTCGATGTTCCGATTTTAAAATTTTTTGTTATTCCTACTTCAGTGTTTTCAAATTTTCGTTTCTTTAATTTATGATATGTAACTTGGAATTTTCATTTTTAAATTTCACAATTTTTCTATTTTCCAACTGTTGGGTGCTTCAATTTTTAGATTTTGCAAATTTCTGGTTTTACAATGTACTGATTTTACAGTTTTTTTTTTTTTTCCAATGTAATGCATATTTTTCATTTTTTATTTTTTTTCAATTTCTCGGTTTTTCAACTTTTTAATTTTTCCTTTGTTCAATTTTGATTTGCAATTCTAGTTTTCATTTTGAATATTTAATACCAATTATAATTTTTAAAGTTTTTGAGTTTTCCCATTTTAGAATTTTTCCATTTTCCAAATATTGGTTATAAAACTTTTTCGTTTATTCGATTTTTAATATTTGAATTTCTCGATATTTAATTTTTCAATTTTCCAATTTTGGTTTTCCAATTTTTCGATTCGTTTTTGTTCTCTCCAATTTCTGGATTCAAAAATTCTTTCCAATTTTCAAGTTTCTCGGTTTTTAGTTTTTAAGTGTTTCAATTGTTCGCTTCTTGAATTTTTCTGTTTTCAGTTTTTCTTCTCTTTTTTTGTTCGATTTTTTCATTTTTAAATTTATCATATTAGTTTTTTGATTTCCCAATGTTTGGTTCAATTATTAAATTTTGGGCAGTTTTTCGTTTTGGTTTTTATTTTCTTTATTTTTACAATTTTTAGTTTTTTCAATGTTCCATTTTTTTATAATTCCTTGTTCTTCCAATTTCAATTTTTTTAAATTCACAATTTTTCTATTTTCCAATTTGTGAATGGTTCAATTTTAAAATTTTTCAATTTTTTGGTTTTACAATATTCTGATTTTATAATTTTTGTTTTTTTTTTTATTAATATTTTTCATTTTTGGATTTTTCAATTTCTCGGTTTTTCAACTTGTAATTTTTTTAATTTTTCATTTGTTCAATTTTGATTTGCAATTCTAGTTTTCATTTTTAATATTTAATGGCAATTATTATTTTTAATAATTTTTAGTTTTTCAATTTTCTAATTTTTAATTTTTGAGTTTCTCGATATTTAATTTTTCTATTTTACAAATTTTGGGTTTTCCAATTTTTCAATTCGATTCGTTTTTCTTCTTTCCAATTTTTCGATTCAATAATTCTTTCCGATTTTCAAGTTTCTCGATTTTTAATTTTTCAGTTTTTCCTGAATTTTTCTGTTTGCAATTTTTCCACTTTTTTTGTTGGATTTTAAGACATGTAGCTCTTCGAGTTTTCATTTTTAAATTAATCATATCAGTTTTTTATTTTCTTTATTTTTACAATTTTTGGATTTTTCGATTTTCCGATTTTATAATTTTTTGTTATTCCTAATTCAGTTTTTACAAATTTTCGTTTCTTTAATTTTGTGATATGTAACTTGGGAGTTTTCATTTTTAAATTTCACAATTTTTTTATTTTCCAACAGTTGGGTGTTTCAGTTTGTAGATTTTGCAATTTTCTGGTTTTACAATGTTCTGATTTTACAATTTTTTTTTTTTTTCAATGTAATGCATATTTTTCAATTTCAATTCTAATTTTCATTTTGAATATTTAATACTAATTTTTAATTTTTGAATTTCTCGATAATTAATGTTTCAATTTTCCAATATTTGGTTTTCCAATTTTTCAATTCGTTTTTGTTCTCTCCAATTTCTCGATTCAAAAATTCTTTCCGATTTTCAAGTTTCTCGGTTTTTAGTTTTTAAGTGTTTCAGTTTTTCGTTTCTTGAATTTTTCCGTTTTCAGTTTTTCTTCTCTTTTTTTGTTCGATTTTTTCATTTCTAAATTTATCATATTAGTTTCTTGATTTCCCAATGTTTGCTTCAATTATTAAATTTTGTGCAATTTTTCGTTTCGGTTTTTATTTTCTTTAGTTTTACAATTTTTAGATTTTTCAATGTTCCATTTTGTTTATAATTCCTTGTTCTTCCAACTTCAATTTTTTTAAATCTACAATTTTTCTATTTTCCAATTTGTGAATGGTTCAATTTTAACGTTTTTCAATTTTTTGGTTTCATAATATTCTGATTTTATAATTTTTGTTTTTTTTTCATTTTTGGATTTTTCAGTTTCTCGGTTTTTCAACTTGTAGATTTTTTTAATTTTTCGTTTGTTGAATTTTGATTTGCAATTCTAGTTTTCAATACCAATTCTAATTTTTTAAATTTTTGAGTTTCTCAGAAAGTATTGGTTTTTAAAACTTTCTCATTTATTCGATTTTTAATTTTTCAATTTTTCAGTCCGCCAGTGTTACTCATTTTGACTTTTCAATTTTGACGATTCTATAATTTTCAATTTTCCAATTTTGGGTTTTCCAATTTTTCTTTTCGATTTTTAAGTTTCTCGATTTTTAGTTTTTCAGTGTTTCAGTTTTCCGTTCTTGAATTATTCTGTTTTCAATTTTCCATTTTTTTTTTCTTTTTTGTTTCTTCGATTCTACGATATGTAGCTTTTCGAGTTTTCGTTTTTAGATTTTGCAATTTTTCGTTTCGATTTTTGTTTTTCTTTATTTTTTCAAGTTTACAGTTTTTCAATGTTGTGATTTTATAATTTTTCGCTTTTTCAATTTTAAATTTTTCAGTTTCTTGCCTTTTCAATTTTTCTTTCCTTCAATTTTTGATTTGCAATTTTTCTAGTTTTGATTTTGAATATATAATAATTAAGTACAATTTTTTCAATTTTACGATTTTAAAATTTTTAAGGATTTTCATTTATTCCATATTGTTAATGTTACAGTTTTTCTATTTTACAATTTTGACGTTTCTATCAATTTTCCATTCATTAATTTTTTTCGAATTTCAAGTTTCCTAATTTTTCCAAATGTTTCAGTTTTGTTTCTTCATTCTTTGACTTGAATTTTTTTCCGATTTTTGATTTTTCGGTTTTTTAAATTTTCGAATTAAAAAAGATGGATAAATTAAAGAAACGAAAAAGTGCAAAATCGAAAAAACGAAATATTGGAAAATAAAAATATTGAAAATTAAGGACATCAGTAAATCGGAGAATTGCGAAATACAAAAATTGCAAAATTGAAAATTTAATAATAAATAATCGAGGAATTCAAAAATCAAAGATTAAAAAGCTGAACTATTTAATAAACGAAAAATTATAAAATCGAAGGAAACATTGAAAAATTAAAGAGATGAAAAATCGAAAAATTGTGATACAAAATCGAGAAAATGAAAGTTAAAAAATCCATAACTTGAAAAATTGAGGAAGCGAAAAATTAAAGACTGAGAAACTGAAAAATAGAAAAATGAAAAATTGTAATATCGGAAAATTGAAGAAATCATAAATTGTAAAATTTGGTAGGCAAAAAATGGACAAATTGAAAAAATCATAGTTGAAAAAACGAGAAGTTGTGACAAAAAATTGTAAAATCGAAGAAAAAGGAAAAACGAAACATTTTCGTATCAAAAAACTGGTCGAAGATAAATCCAGATTTTTCTAAAAATTGTAAGATTTGATTTTGCGAATTTAATTTTTTTATAACGCTTGTCAGTTAATGCAAAGATATATGTAATATTAAAATAATTGCAAAGACGCATGCTACGCCTTATTTCAAGTGAGTACACTACCGTATTTCCAAATTTTCGGAAAAATAGAGTGAGTCATTTTTGATTTTGATCGATATAATAAATCACCTCATTAATTTTTTTTTATTGTTTTATTTACTTTGGTCAGCCTGTGTAAGTAATTCAAAAATCTAAGAATGCCTTCATAAACCACAATTATAAGGTCAATGTAGAATTTAAATTACAATTTTGACTTTTTTTCCAAAAATCTGGATGTCTCTAAATTAAAAAAAAAAGTTGCAAATTTTGTAGACGACACAACATTTGTAATACACATATAAAATTTGGAACAATCGGTCTAGTAGTTTCGAAGATTATGTGTTTAATAAAAATTCGGGTAGACGACAGACGGAAACGGAAGACCTATTTTTTCGTACTATAAAGGTGATGAAACATAGAGAAAAGAAAACAAAAGGTTTCCTTCGCCCAAAATTTAAATATGAAGTAAAATACAGAACGTAAAAGCTGTGTGCAATTTACAGTAGATTAATGATTCTGGCTTTTAAAATGTAACTAAAAGGTTGAATTAAAATGCTTTCGAGTCAGTTTCGCAATAATTGACAGCAATTTATTTTTCAGGTGCAGCAACTTAGGGAAGAAGAAAGTTCGTTGAGGCAAGAAAATCTCCGACTTAAAGAGGAAATCCTCCAGTTAAAATTGGCAGCAGGAACTAGGGTGACCCAACCCAACCGATACGCGCCTCCAGCGCAACAACAAAACATCCCAGTAATATATATGGCTGTAGCGGTAATTTTGGGCTTCTTAGGCATCGTATTGGGCAAGTTTGTCCTCTGAGACCCTCCCTAGAGACTTAGCGTGGTGTTACTCAGATTACCATGCCCAAACTCCAATATATTGTATATTTATTACAGTTAATTCATTATTATCTACTGTAAAATAAAATTTCTTGTGCATACTTAACGAGTGTGCTATTTTGGTTGCATCTTTCGGCCAACTCGGTTCTTTTGCCAATCTTAACATTGTCAAACGACTGCATCGACGAAAAAGAGAAACGTAGATTAACAAAGTCCGGATTTGGGTGTGTTGAGGTTGGACGAACTGTTGGTCACTTTTTTACAGAGTGTTTCTTATAAACGTAGCTAAACGAATTTGAATGTCGGAGATTGTTTTTATTTGAAACATCCTGTACTCGATTTGGTTCATGTCAGCAATCGCAGGTTAGAAGTATACAATATATGGCAAGTTTACTTACTAGCCATCTTTGGACGTTTCATGCCTTAAGGTTTTCGTTTCGTATACAGCGACAGTCCAAACGAAATTGCTGCAAAATTGGGAATACATTTTAGGGCGAATGTTGTTTTCATAACTGCACAGACTGTACATAACTTTGAACTTTCTCTGTATACCGTCGTGTGTTGATCAACTTTCCGCCGTCGTTATTTTTAATGGAGTCAACAATGTGTTAAATATATTTATTAATTTTGTTTTTAATTTAATGTTTTAATGTACGGAAAGTTGTTTGACTATTGCATTTTTTATTTTTTTTTCTTAGTATTTGTGGTAATAGTTCAGTCATTTTGTAATTGTTAGTTAGAATCGAGCACTTGCCAAGGTCCATCGATGATAAGTCACCTTAGAATCACGTAATATTGCATTTGGGTTGAAATCATCCTACTTTAGATTAGGTCCACTTCATATTAATGTGGTGCTGTCATATACATCTTTATTTTTCATTGAGTTTGATATTAAATATTTTTTCACCTCAACGAAAATTTTATTTGTGTCTGTGAATTTCGTTAACTGTACTAGATTTAGGGCTATTTGGGGGCGATCACCGCCATTTTAGAACCGACCTTCCAAAAATTTTAAGCAAAATGCAGTATAACGTTCATCCCTGCAACACCAAAAATATACAAAGCTTTGCCTAGACAACGCCAACGTTGTTGGCGAAACGCGTTGTATATTTTCAGTGCTGCGGGGATGGACCTTATATTGTTATAGCACACCGAGTGACCAAAAAGCCAAATAGTTGTGTGATTGTAAAATTAACGGTTACCCCCGAGACGAATTCCAGAAGAAAAACTGGGTGAGATTATGTATAATTTTTAGTTTTACCATCATACAACTGCTGCAATTTTTCAGGATCGGGCTTTTTGGACGTGCGGTTTCCAAACTGGGGGCGACTTCCCCCTCAAACATCTGAAATTAATAGTAGTAAGAACTTGGCTTGGTGCGATTGTTCATATGTATTATATTTTAACACGTTGTACTATTTTATGCTAGCCTGGTAAGTGTAAGTAACTTCAGTGAATAAACTATACTTCATTACCTACTTAGAAAATTTTTGTAAGTCGTTATCTTACCGTGCAAATATTGACCTGATGTAAATTGTACGAAATTATAAGTGACATGTTGCAATCCATTCTGCTTTTCAATTATCCAGCGTCCGTTGTGGAAACGTGAACGGCAAAAATGCAGCAATGTAAAAATTGAGTACAAAGACTGCGGCTCTGATCAAGGCGATCGAGCTCTCCTCACATTTCGGTGTCACGTTGCGTTGGAAGGTCTGTTACATAATTGACCGCATCATCCACTGCGCCCACAGACTGTCAAGCCAGCGAGTTGTCAATTCCACGAGGGGATAGGTTTGTTTTGATTATAACAAATAATAATTTGAGAATAAATGTTCAGATTCAATCTGTGAGAACAGTAATAAAATAATACCACCTGTTTCTAGTCAGTGATACCAATTTAACTGATGATAACTTTCAAGGTCCTTTCATAATTTAAATGCCATAAGTGAACCATTATAAATCTCGAGTTAGAAGTTAATTTAATAGCTTAAGTTGGCTGTGATCGTCTAACCAAATGGAACCTATGTTGCAAAAATTACCGCTAAATAAAACACAATATATATGGAGGACACAAAATTATTTATTCCTCCATTAATAAAATTCTGTGGTGTCGCTCGATAGCGGCACCAGACGCTATGGGAGTGTGGCGATCGAACTATACCGATTTCGTTCTAGACTACAGCAAAAATACGCATAGGGGGCGTTGTAGCACGAGCGGAGTTTGGGGCTCCTGGTTGTGGCTGTTCTCCCCCCACGACGGTGATTCTAGCAAGCACTGCCGCACAGCGTCACGTTATCCCGACCGCCCCTGACTTCTATTCAAGGCGTGCATCCTTTGTGCAGATGGTGCGACCGACAGCTCAACAAGGAACCGCGCACTCCGCTTCCGCCACGTGTTTCTGTGTTATTTACCTCAATTCCATTTAAATGTTCAATCTCTTTGACTCTGATATTAAACTACAATTGAACAAGTGTTAAAGTTTCAGAAATAGCAATAAGCAACATTTAAATTCGCTATACATGTCGTGAAATTTTAAACAGTGAAGAATTCTCATCTGAAATTAAGATTGGACATCAGACAATCTATATGACGGAAACATTAATTAACAAAATATTTACATGAAAAAAAAAAACTGGCAAAGATTTATAACGCAAAAAAACAATCTGGTGTTAAGTAAAAAGGTTACGTGAGGCTAGAACTGCAGAGCATGAAAATTTACGTTCAATTTAAATTATATAACAAAGAAAATTACGGAAGTTAAAATTATGAGATAGATTAAAAAATTGCAAAGGTAACAAAATTACATTCCTAGAGTGGGGCACCGTTAGATTGATTTAACTGTCGTAAATGGACCATTAGCAATTTTGTGTGAGGAATTAAGAAGTGTTATAATGTAACACTTAAGTATAAACATCCAGAAACCTTATTTATAATTTGATAAACAAAGAATGAGTCCTGGCTAAGTGAATCTCATGAAATCTCCTAGCAGTCTGAACAATCTCACGACTATTAAATAGTGTTAGAACCAGTTATGGGTTACGGTCCTGACTACGATAAGCAGAACACGCTCCGAAATCCAAACTCGAAAATTGAGAGATATCGAGCGTCAAAAGCGAAAGAGAAGTAGTAGAAAACAAAGAAGTGAAGTGGAATAAGAGTAAGAAGCACCAAGAAGTGTAAGGACAGCAATTATTCGGGAAAGTGTGGAATCAAAAGAACCTAACCTCCGAAGAGATAGTCTGGCGGCGCGAAGTAAACAACACAGGAACGTACTAGATACACAGGAAGCAAGAAAGTCGGCCAGGGAATGCTAAACGGGAATCCTGAACCGGAAAAAGGACACAAACTAGCAATAGAAGAACAAGACAACCAGAAACGAAAAAGAGAAACCTCCTTTTCACCATCACCGGAAGGTCAAAGAGTACAGAGGAAGCAGAAGAGAGTACAAGCAGGAGACATGGACGAAGTAAAGAATATGTTCAAAACGTTAATGGAGGAAATCGCAGAAATGAAAAGAGACCAAAGAGCATACCAAGTAGAAGTAACAACACTAAGAAAAGAAAACCAAAGACTGACCGAAAGATTAGAAAGAGTGGAGCAACACTTAGAAAAACTGGAAAAAGCAGAAAGGAGAAACAACATCGTAATCAAAGGAGGGAAACTACAAGGAAGCGAAATAACAGCAGAGGTTGAAGAACTCCTAAAAAATAAGGTAGGAATCCAAACTAAGATACAAGACGCAAGATTAGTCAGCGAAAAATACGACATAGTAGTAGCAAAGATAGAGAACTGGGACACAAAAAGAGCAATCATGAAACAGAAGAACAAATTAAAAGGATCAAAAACGTTTATTGAAGACGATTACACCAAACAAGAGAGCGAGATACAGAAGAAAATAAGAGGAATAGCAGCAGCAGAAAAAGGGAAAGGAGTCGAGGCAAAAGTAGGGTACAAAAAGATGACATGGGCAGGAGAAGTCTGGCATTGGGACACCAAATTAGACAAATTAGTGAAAGCACCGTCGCACCCCAAAGAAAATCCAAAAAACTAACAAGAGGAAGAAACCACACACCGGAAAACAATGACGACGTACGCAAAGCTCATGGATGACCCGATAGGAATTACGAAGAGAAAGAAAAACCCGAAAATTAGAATAGGAACATGGAATGTTCGAGGAACATATAGCGAAGGAAAACTCAAACAAATAGTTCAAGAATTACAAAGGTATAATATAGATATAGCAGCTATACAAGAGACGAAACAAAAAGGCAAATTCATCACTGAAATAGACAACTACATATTATTTAATAGCGGAATTGACAACAGTGAACTAGGAACAGGATTCATGGTTAAGAAGAGCCTGAAAGGAGCAGTAATTACCTTCAAACCAATCTCAGAAAGAATGAGCTATATAAGATTGAGAAGTAAGTACAGGAAAATAAGCCTACTGAATATAGGTACATGCACCGACTGAAGAGAAAGATCTAGAAGTAAAAACAGAATATTACGAAGAACTAGAAAGAGAACATGTGAAAATACCAAAGCATGACATTAAAATGGTTATAGGAGACGCCAACGCAATGATAGATAAAGAGAATTGCTACAGGCCAACAATCGGGAAAGAAAGCAAACACCAAAAAACGAATCAAAATGGAGAAAAACTGATAGAGTTTGCAGAAGAAAATAAAATTGTAGTCAAAAGCACCTTCTTTGCACAGAAAGAGATCTACAAAGGCACATGGATGTCGGCTGACGGAAAAACGGTCAACCAAATAGACCACATACTGGTAGAAAGGAGAGATGCCCAACTAATAACCAGATTAAGAAGCTACAGGGGAGCAGAAGCGAATTCAGACCACTTTCTAGTAAGAGCAGACCTCAAACAAGAAATACCGAAGAAAAAAGAAGGAAAGAAGATGCAACGTGATATAAATGTAAACAAACTTAAGAAAGCTGAAGTACAACAGGAATACGAACAAAAGATGAATGAGAGAATAAGATCAACAGAGCAAGACATACCTATAGAAGAGAGGTGGGAAGAACTATAAGAGAACATATGGAAGACCTCGGAACAAGTGCTAGGGTTCGTCAAAAAAGACAACAAAAGTAGAAACGAATGGTTTGACGAGGAATGTTGAAAAGCAATAGAAGCGGGGAGGTCAGCCAGACAGAAATATCTAAAATCAAAAAATGAGAAGAACCAAAAAGATTACCAAGAAAAAAGGAAAGAGTACAAGAAGATATGCAGAAATAAGAAACGAGCAAAGATGGAAGAACAGATACGACAAATAGAAGAAAACTTCAACAAGAATGAAATAAGGAACTTCTACCAGGACGTGAAAAAAGAGAAAAGAGGCTATCAACCACGAGTAATATATTGTAAAGACAAGGACGACAACCTGATAGGAGACGAACAAGCAAGAATAAAACGATGGGCAGAATACTTTGAAGAGCTGCTAAACGAACAGGATACACAGCAAGATACGAACGAAGGAGAGAACGACTCGGATGACCCAGATGAAACAATAGAAATTGACGAAGGAGAGATCAGAGAAACACTAAGGCAGATGAAAAACAACAAAAGTCCTGGTAGAAACGGAATAAAGGGCGAGATGCTAAAGTACGGAGGAGAAGCAGTAGCATCAGAGATACATCGACGAGTGCTAGAATGTTGGAAGGAAGGAAAAATGGCAGAACAATGGAGTGAAGCAGTACTTTGCCCGATATTTAAAAAAGGAGATATTACGAAATGCGAAAATTATCGCGATATAGCGCTGCTAGACGTAACGTATAAGGTAATGGCCACTTGCATCAACCGAAGACTAAAGCAGCATATGGAAAAATAGTAGGAGAATATCAAGCAGGGTTTAGGAAAAATAGATCTACTGTAGACCAAATATTTATATTGAAGCAACTACAGGAAGTACATTACGAACAGGGAATCAACTTATATCTGCTGTTCATTGACTTTAAAAAAGCCTATGACACGGTTAACAGGAAAGAGTCCCAAGAAAACTAATAAAACTGACAAAGATGACCCTGCAGAGCACCAGAAACAGAGTCAGGATAAATGGTCTGTTGTCAGAACCATTCCAAGTAAGAACAAGACTCCGGCAAGGAGATCCAATATCAACTACCCTGTTCAATCTAGTACTCGAAGCAATAATAAGGAGAAGTGGCATCCACAGAACGAGCACGATATACGAAAAGACACCAAAATATAGCCTTTGCAGATGACGTGACATGTATAACGAGAACAGAAGCAGAAATGAAGAATATGACAAAAAATCTAATCAGAGAAGCGAAACGAATGGGTTTAGCGATCAACCAAGAGAAAACGAAGTTTATGGAGATGGAAACAAAACAAACCCCAGCAAAACCACTGAAAGTAACTACAGAAGAAGGAACAACATACGAATTCGAAGAAGTAAATAGGTTCAAATATCTAGGAGTAGTAATTACAAACAAAAACGAAATGAACGAAGAGATAGAAGAACGGATCGCGAAAGCAAACAAGAGTGTAGGAAGATTAAACAGATTTCTGAGGAGTAAGAATGTAACACGACGAACAAAGAAACAAGTATATAAGACAATAATAAGACCTACAGTCCTGTACGCTAGTGAAACATGGACGCTAACGAACGAAAAGGAACAGAAGTTGGAAGTATGGGAACGCAAGATACTACGAAAGATATATGGAGGTATAAAAGAACTAGACCAATGGAAAAGAAGAACAAACCGAGAGATCGAGGAACTATACGGAGAACCAACAATCACGAAGATAATCAGAGCACAGAGACTAAGATGGCTAGGCCACGTCGGAAGAGCACCAGAGGAAAGGACAATTGGGAAAGTATTAGACCGCCTAAAAGGAGGAAAGAAAAAGAGAGGAAGGCCAAAACTGAAGTGGATAGACGATGTTCGAAAAGATCTTCAAAACTTAGGCATTGAAGATTGGAGATCCAAAGCAGCCGACAGGAACAAATGGAAAATTATTGTCAAAAAAGCCCAGGGCCTTTAAGGCCTGCAGAGCTGAATTATATATAGAACCAGTTATGATTAAAATCCTGACATGAACGGTGAATTTACAAACAATGAATCAACATTACACCACGTGTTAGCGTCGGTCGAAAATTCGCATATTTCCGCTTGGAAAACCAACAGTGACGCCTGTTACCCCTCTAGGCACCAAATCAACTTTTACCAACCCTCTCAACAGAAATTCCCTAGGAGAGCCAACCAACAAGGACCTAAACGTGCACATGGCTGCCTATGTTTAACGATTTTCTTGACTGAATTTTTCTTCAAAAACCTGAAAACACTCATTAATCAAAGTACACCTGTTACAGTACTTACCTTAGCTATGACACAAAAAGTAAAACTGATTAATTTTTGAAAATACACTTTTTTACATGAGGTTAAATTATGCATTAATTCAAGTTGAAGTTAAAAATTTTAACATTAATTGCGAATTTACAGACAAAACAAAAAGAAAGGAGAAGAAAAACATTAACAATTTTTTTACACCAACTTTACGTACATTGGAGAACTGTGGCATCGAATGCGATTAATTTTTTCTAATTTGAAAATACAAACAATATTCTACAAAGCATAATTTAAGATCTTTTTTTAAAACTACCTCCGTTACATTTCTTTCCAATCCCCTTACTTTCTAAGAAAAGACTGATTTTGGCAAATGATATATCCTCTAAGAAAATAGAGAGTGAGTGGGTTTTCAAAATAGAATTCAATTCCTATTTCACAGTAAATAAAACAAGTCAGTGAAATGGAGAAAGTAGATGAGGGGGGGGGGGGTTAGTGTTTCTCCAGAGTCTTATAAGCAAGCAGTAGCCCTGTTCACCCACCCCTTCTTGATAATAATAATAATAAAAATAATAATAATTTTACCTTCAGACAATATTGTAGAGAAAATATCTAAGAAAGGATTGTCACAATAAAATAATACAAAAAAATGATCGAAGATTATTTTGACAGAACTTCCCTTTCCCATAAAGTACAGCTTATCAAATCCAGTTCGTTCGAAAAATTAAAAGATTTGATTTTGCGAATTTTATTGTTTTTTAGCGACCCTGTATAAATGTATATCTGAGAAAATTCTTTTGTTTGAGCTTTACTTGTTTTTGCCTATTTACCTAAGTGACTTATTTTTGTTCTGTCTATTTTTTTCCTATGTAATAAGATAAGACTGATTTTGGACAATGAAATACCTTCTACGAAAATTGAGGGCGGGTGGGTGTTGCTAGTGTTTTCTAAAATAAGACTGATTTTGGCAGACGATATACCCTCTAAGAAAATAGGGGCGGGTGGGCGGGGCTAGTACTTCTTAAGATACGAGTGATTTTGGCAAATAATATAATGTGCTTGGGGGTATAGAAAATTTAGATTTTAGAACAAAATAGACACAAAAAATTGGTTGTAAGTTATTTCGACAGAAAGTACAGTCGAACAAATACAACTTCGGAAAATTGTTGTTATCAACTTTAAATTTGAGATTTGTTTTCATCTTTATAGTCAGTTTTTCCATATAATTTTTTTTTTGATAACGTCATTAACACTTCAGCAAGGGCACATATATCAATTTAGTATTAATAGCCTCCTTGGAGTTTGGGCACCCTTGGAATTCCCGAAATTTTTAAATTTAAAGAAGACTGAACTTTCACATTATTTGGAACATTTCCACAAATTTAGCAAAATGTTTAGAATTGATTAAATTTTTGAAATTTCCAGAAAATATCAGTCTTGTGATATGCCAGAGTTCGACATTTTCCTCAGTTTTCAAGATTTCTAGGTCTTCCAGATTTTTCACACTTTCTAGATACTTAAGTATTTCCAAATTTTCTAAAATTAATAGACCCCAAGAGTCTTTAAATCTTTCAAATTCTTCGAATCTCTGTAATCTTTAGAATTGTGTAAGATAAGAATAACTGGGGTGTACGATTTTTATGTTTTTAGGATTTTTATTTTGTTTAGAGTCTTTGGAATCTCTAAAATTTTTGTCATGTTAAGAGTTCATGCGTTTTTTACAAATTATAGAATCTTTGAAGTAGTTGGAAACAATTTTGAAAACCTTTTTAACGTTTGAGTCCTTCGAGTTTTCAGAGTCCTTAGATTTTTGAAATTTTGAGATTTAATTTTTTTTATTTTCTTTTCATTTTTCAGAATTTTCCAGATTAGCCCAATTTTTCAGATTTTCCAAAGTACACAAAATTATTAGAATTCCCACATTTTCCAAAATTTCTAAAATTATTAGGCTCCAGGTATACCAGAATTTTGAAATTCAGCCTTTTCCAATATTTTCAAGATTGCTAGCTGTACCACATTTTCCCACACTTTCTAAACTTTTTCAGATTTTCTAAAATTTATAGATCTCAAGAGTCTATATTATATTTCGAATTTTTGGAATCTCTGGAATTTTTACAGTTTCCAAAATTTATAAATTAATAATTAGGGTGTTCAAGTGCTGTTGGGATTTATAAAAATTTAAGAAAGCATTTTCCCGATCTTTACGATTTTAATGTGTTTAAGATTTTTGTTTTCTTTAAAGTCTTTGGAATTTTTAAAATCTTTGGTATTTTAAGAGTTCATGCGATTTTTACAAGTTTGCCTTTTGGAATTTCTCTAGAACCTTTAGCATCTTTCAAGTATTCGAAACAGAATTTTAGCTTTTGACCCCTTAGAGTCTTTAGACCTTTTAGACCCTTTCCAACCTATAGAGATTCTGAACACTTTGGGAATTACTAGGAGTTTTATAAAACCTAAAGTTTCTGCAATTTCTAGGATCATTAGTACATTCCTCTAGAAATACATGGTTGCCTACGTTATTGAATTATTTTCTTCTTTTTAATTTTTTAGTTGCAGTTTCGTATCACCAAGTTTGAATTTCAAATTCAAGACACCACAGGCCACAACGTAATTGATACGCCACTGGTCAAAGCGTAAATGACAGATTGTGATGAGTGATGACCGAGATGATGACGCAATATGTTTTTCCTATACTATTTTCAATCTATGCGGATGGCGCGATAAATCCCGCTAGCTCGACTAGGAACCGCGCCCTCCGCTTCTGCCACGTATTTCGGTGTTATTTACCTCAATTCCATTTTAAATGTCAATTTCTATGACTCTGATATTAACGACAACTGAACAAGTGTTAAAGTTTCAAAAAGAGCAATAAACAAATTAAATTAAAATTGGACATTACGTGAGGTTAGAATTGCAGAGCGTGAAAGTTTACGTTCAATTTAACTTATACAACAAAGAAAATTACTAAATTTAAAATTGGGAGATAGAGAAAAATTGTATGAGGTGAAAATTGCAAAGCTAACAAATTTACATGAGATTAATATTTGCCACACTTTATCAACGATTCAAACAAAGAATTTACGTTACGTTAAATGCTGCCTTGATCCAAATGATTGGTTACTTAAAACAATTTGTCTTGAGGATTTATATCGTGAACTGTTTACCCCAAACAAAACACGTGATAAATAAACACAAAAATATCCAGTCAGCGTCGCGAGAAAATAGGTCTCGGCGATGTGATGATAACAACGAAGTCAACTGCCTAAGAGGAGAAATCTTTAATCCCCCGTCAGTTCACGATATTATGAATATAACGCTTACGTACTGGCAACCAGAAACGTTATTCGTAATTAGACAAACAAAATCAAACAAGTACTGACTCAGTGAATTTCATGAAATCTGTTAGCAAGTGTTTGTCTAAACAAATCTAATGTCTGTTAAATTATATTAGAACCAGTTAACGATTAAAATCTTAACCTGATCGGTGAATTTACAAATAATGAATTAAATTTACACGTGTTGGCGTCGTTCAAAAATTCGCCTTTTCCGATTAGAAAGCCGCAAAAATTAGCTGCGCGTGTTGGGGAAGCCAACTTACAGCGTCTTTTTCACCATGATCCCACACAGAGAACCAAACAATAATGACACTTTCATCATGCCGCCATCTTGTGCCAACCCTATAACTGGAATCCCCTAGCAAGCTACTAACTATCCAACAAGCGTTACCGTGCACATGGTTGCCTATGTTTAACGATTTTTTTTTTATTGAATTTTTCTTCAAATTTAAATTATTCAAATGTGATTTCGCGTCGCTGTTAATTAATTTCAGCGCGAAAATTTGATTCAAATTCGGTCACCACAGTAGTTTAGTAGATTTATTTTTTAAATGGTGTGGTAGCCAAACATCCCGCCAAAATTTGACATGTGAACAAAATTTTAAAATTGGCTAAAAATTCAAAATTTCTGGTGTGTGTTTAGGTCTGAATGCATTCAAATAAAAATTGGTGAAGTTGGAAAAGCGCCCCTAAATCAAACACAAAATATGCACGACAAAAAGATTGTTTATAATTGTTTTTTTTAGTCTCGCGCCTGGATTATTAAACCTGATTTCGACTTAGCTATGTAAGCTACAAACCCCAAAAAATCTGCCGCGTATTATACGCTTTACCTGGTCTCTCCATGAAGTGTCAGTTTCAACATGTATTAGAGCAATGACAAAAGCACGTCACACTATCAAGAATTTGAAACAACAAAAAATTTACATGGTATTGTGGTGACCGAATTTAAATCAAAGTTTTCGCGCTGAAATTAATTAACAGCGGCGCGAAATCACACTTGAATAATTTGAATTTGAAAGAAAAAAAAATCAATCACAAAAAGGAAATCGTTAAACATAGGCAACCTGGTACACGGAGATGCTTGTTTGGATTAATCGGGGCATGCCTCACAACGCCACAGATTGATTAATTCATCGAGGCATGCCATCGCAACGCTACAGATTGATTAATTAATCGAGGCATGCCCTCACAATGCTACAGATTGATAGAAGTCCGTCCTCGCGACGCTAGAGATTAATAACATCACCGAGACGCTTTTTCCTTGCAACGATTTTAAAATTTACATCACCGAGACGCTTTTTCCCTCGGAGCGATGATTGGATATTTTTGTGTTTGTTTATTATGTGTTTTGTTGGGGTAACCAGTTCGCGGTATTTTAAACTCTCAAAGTAAATTGTTTTTTTTAAGTAACCAATCACTTGGATCAAGACATAATTTAACATGATGTAAACTCTTTGTTTGAAAGTCTTTTGTTAACTTGCAATGTTACCACCTCATACTATATTTCTTAATCTCACAATTTTAACCTCCGTAATTTTATTTGTTGTATAACTTTTATTGAACGTAAATTTCATATTCTACAGTTTTAACTTCACATAATATTTCTATTTGTACAAGTTCATTTCACACCAGATCTCTTGTTTCATAAATCCTTGCTAAGTTTTGTTTTGTAAATATTTTGTTGATGAATGTTTCTATCATATAAATTATTTGATGTCCAATTTTAATCTCACATAAGAATTATTTGTTGTTCAAAATTTCACAAGGTTGTATGGCGAATCTAAATGTTGTTTATGGCTCTTTGAAACTTGAACACTTGTTCAGTTGTTGTTAATATCAGAGTTATAAGAGATTGAACGTAATGGCCTAGTTCCGCAGGGCACGTTCGTAATGGAGATATGCGTGTGGGGTAGGCTTTGCGATAGATAGAATCACCGTCGTGGGGGGAGAACAGCTCCAGACCGGTAGCCCCAAACTCCGCTTGTGTTACAACACCCCAGGGGTACTTTTGTTGTGCTCCTGTTAACTGCCGTAACCTTAAAAATCTGCCGCCACACGCCCGTAATAACTTGCGTATTTGCATCCAGTTACTTAAGTCGGATTTTGCTTTGTTTTATTAAATTTGTGATATTCAAATATTTGCATTGGTTCCAAACAGATGTATAGAATTTTGTGTTTGTTCGTTTTTCATATGTGTATGTCTGTCAATTCGCGAGTGTTTTCTTTCATATAACTTAAGGTGTTTGAAATGTAATATTTCGGTGAGTCTGTCGCTCTTCGTTTCTTTTCCTCCTAAGGAAGGATTTCTACCTCCCTAATTTTGTCTATTATTTCTTGCGCTCTCAACTCAGATACAGTATATGCTCACTTGTATGAAAGAACGTCTTTCCGCCATTTTTCAAAAACAAAAAAAAACACAACGTAGGTTCCTATTTGTTAGACGATCACAGCCAAGGCCAAACTTTGAATTTTTAAATTTTTCGCGGGTCTTTCAAACTGTTTCAAGGTCAATTTAAAGGCGGGAAGTTTGGGTTATTACAGTATTAAATCAAAATCAAAAAATATATACTTCTGGCCTCGGAATCGCTGTTCGAATTCAAGTTGCAAAAATATTATTAAACTTGTAAAAAAATATTACAGCCGTCCTGATTGACGAGTCCACGAGTGCGTAAATTTGACTGATAGAAGTTTCATGTTCTTTTCTTTCAAGATGGATCAATGTTAGATCAGTTTAAATACCACTATTTTATCAATCTCGAGTGAAAAATTAAGAAGTGTGTTACAATGTAATAATTAATAAGAAACTTTAGATGATAAACAAGAGTGAAGAAATCTGAATAAGTGAATTTCCGTGGTTTAAATGAACAATTTCATGTCGCTTAAATTGTGTTAGAACTAGGACCAGTTAAAAATGTGAACATGAGCTGTGAATTTACAAACAATGAAACAAAAATAACAGGTTAACGACATAATCAAAAATTCACACATTTTAAATTAGAAAACCATTAATAATTAATTACGCTTGTTAAGGGGGGGGGGGGGAGGAGACTGTGGCGTCAATGTCATTCCTTTTGAACAATTACCCTTTTTTATGAAAATCAAACGTGATGAATGCATAAACTTTAGTTTATTTTCTGTACCTACCTCTGACTGAGTGCTAATTATTTTTGTATCGGGACTCCAAATCACAGATCACGGTTTCGGGATCGATGCCTCTGATCAAGGCGATCGAGCTCCCTCAGTTTAATGTTTCCGTGAACCGTAAATTTACCACAATAAAGGAAAAATAACGCCGTCAAACTTTCAGATATTCAGATTTAATTAACCGCGAAAATACAATTTAAATAAAAAATATACATTCTTCTTCTTTAGACCGTTTTCCCATTTCTTTGTCAAATAAATTTATTAGTACAAATTGGTGATTTCACGCCGTGTTGCAGATTAACCATAAACTGTTATGCACACGATAAAAAAGAAATTAACTCCAATGTGTTAATTTGACACATTTTGATTTCAAGTGCCGCTGTTATTGAAATTCGGCTTGCTAAAAATGACTTGTTTACAACTTGGTCTTAATTAACTGTGAAAGCAAGAGTATTAAAAACTATTATCCGGTTTAATTCCGTAAATCGTTTTTATTGTTGATCAAACTTTGAACTCATTTATATATTACGCGAAAATAGAACTGATTGCAAGACTTTTGTTGGTTAGCGTGACCTGGACAACATTTTTGTTGCGAAATTTAATTATACACTTCCATGTGTCAAATTACCTGTGCTTCGCAGTTTTTGTCTTCGTGTGAGGGAAAGCGGGAGAATGTCAGGAATTTTGACTCATAAATGTAAATTAGCTTGTTCATAATTTAATAAATCAAGTCTGCAAAATTAAGTTTTTAATGTAAGCTGACCGACCACCGGGGTTGTTTTACAACTTATGTAACACGAGAACATAAACTTTTTTTCAATTTAAGGATAAATTTGTACGGATTTCACGATGTTTTATTACATGTAAAATAGTGTTAGTCTACTTTGGGTATAAAAACGGACTGACAACCTATTCTTAACGTAAATGCATTTCGCAATACAACTTAACAAATAAATATTTAAAAATCACATCAAATGGTAAAAACAACTAAACTTTATTGGTTTCTGGAGATTCTGGCTTATTTAAATTTGGACTATTTGGTACAACGGGTGCAGCCTGTTGTGGATTCCCTTGAACTGGTTGCTGTTGTTGTTGTTGTTGTTGTTGTTGTTGTTGTGGTTGTTGTTGCTGATTTGGAGCTTGAGGTGGTTGTTGATAATTCACCTGTGGCTGCTGCTGCTGTTGATAATTCTGTTGTGGTACTTGTTGATTTTGATAATTTTGTTGTTGGGGTACTGCTTGCTGATAATTGCGCTGTTGTGGCACTTGTTGATAATTCTGTTGCGGCACCTGTTGATAATTCTGCTGTTGTGGTACTTGTTGGTACTGTGGCGGAGCCTGAGGGACTTGCTTATGTTGCGGATAAACCTCATTCGTGTTCAGTTGCCCCTGTAAAAACTGATTAGTATCACCACCTTGGCACGATTCAACCGACCTGAAGCTGTTGCGGATGCTGCGGAGGTAACTGTCCAGGGTGGAACTGCTGCGGTACTGCACCTGGAGGTACCGCGTTAGGATGCATCGGGACACCATTTGGATGTACCGGAACCACGTTAGGGTGATGTCCGGGTGGTACCTGCTGGTACATTGGTGGGGGATACCCGTGCGGAATTTGGTTAGCTGCCTGATGCATTCTTATATATTCTTCCAGTTCTTCGTCCGTGTATGGTTTCCGTTCGTCCAAACCCTGCCAACCGTGGTCCTGCTGGAAGTCGTTCCTCTTAGTCTGCGCTAAGAACTCTTCATAGTCAATAAACCCGTCCCGATTCACGTCAACCTCCTTGAACACGCTCTCCCTCATTCGTTCCATTTCTTCAGCGCGCTCCCTCATGTCGTCCTCCGGCTCTCCCGCAGCGTACATCTTCTCCAACTCCTTAATAAATAAAGCTTTCACTTCGTCCTGATCCCAAAGCCCGTTGGAATCTATATCATGAAGCATGAAAAATGTCTTCGGGTCGAATTCCTGCTGCATTTGGTCCTGTTCCTGCCAGACTTCCTCCAACTGAGCTTTGTGACCCGGCTCGTGCAATTTTTCGTGCTTTTTATGCTTTTCCTCGCGCTCCTGTAACAACTAATCAATAAAGGAACACTTTCTCATTCGTCAAAATTTCAAATTTGTTTGTTCAGCTAAGTCATTAATCTAATTATTATTATTATTATTCACTTACTTTGAATTCTTTTTCTAGCTTATCCCGATCTTCCCCGTTCGTGTGGTTCAACTTCACCTGCTTCTCGAACTCCTTCTGCATCTCATACTGCTTGAACTCCTCCCTCCTCTTCTTATCGGCCTCCACCAAGTCAGCCGTCGTCTTGGCAATCAGTTTCTTCAAATCGTCGATTTCGAAGGTGTGTGGGTTGGAGTGGTCCAAGTGGTGGTGGCTGGGGTCATCCAGGACTATGTTCTGCTGCAGTCTCCGCTTCTTCTCGGTTAGTTCTTTGAGTCTTTGGAGCTCGACTCGTTTGATCTCGTCTAAGCGACTGCGCACGTGGTGCGACACGAATTCTAGTTCTTCGGCTATTTTCCCCGACCGGATGTCATGCTCTTCGGCTTTTTCTAGCTTTTGTCTAAATTGGGGGTCCGATTCGAGGGCGTTGACGACCTCGCGTAGGTACCTGTGGTACTCCATGTAGTCCTCTAGGCCGCCGACTTCGTCGTTTTCTTCGGCTTTGTCTTTTTCTTTGTTCTGGGTTACGGGAGGGGCGAAGCATGTTTGGAGAATGGCGAGGGATAATACTAACGACAGGAATGTGTTCATTTTCTGAAAACGAGAAAAAATATGGGTTTAATTTACTTTAATGCCTTCATTTTAACTGAGTCGTGCTATATCTAGATCGACCGAAAATAATTAACCTGCGTTGGTGGATTTTTTAATAGCTTTAATAGGTCTAATTTCGTTTCTCTGTGTATGTAAGATTTAATCATTATCAAAAAAACTAATTTGTTCTCGACCATTGCAATTGTATGGTAATTTTGGGATACGATGTAGGAGGATACGCGATAATCAATTACTGCACCACGAATATGCTACAAATGTGTCAATATTACAGGCACCAGGACAGTCAATTGGCGTTTTCGTCATTCTATTGTATTAAGGTTCGATGTACGTTTTCAATTTTCTGATTATTATACAATACGTTTATTGATTAATTTTTTGTAAAATCCAGTCGTTTTTATTGCATGAGAAAGTTTTATCAGGTCAGGTGTGCAGTTTTGGATAACAAATAGCCTTGTTTTCAACACTATCGACGTTAATTTCCAGTTTGATTTAATGTCACTGTACGACCTTTCATAATTCGGATTTAAATTTACGATGTCGATTGTGTCACTGCGTAAGTCAGTATCGCTTTTAATTATAGTTCTACAAAATCGTTGCAGCAGGGTGTAAACTTTAAACACAAATTAGTTACAAAAATGATTACAGTATCTGTAATTATGTTTTATATTTCTCAAATGTCACGTTCTTTTAAAATATTTGTGATGAACTAATTTTTATATACAAAATAGTTTTAAAACTGTTAGAAACAACAATTGAGTTAATTACTTGTTTTGGCCTTAAGCTGCTTAATACATATTTAAAATATTCTGTAATTTCCTTAGTTGTCCTTGTAAAATTTTGACAATGCGTAATTTAAGTACTAAAATGCTATTAACTAATAACAATAATAACTGGCGTTTTTACGAAAGTTTTTTGTTAGTAGAAATAAAAAAATCTTGAATAAAACTACACAAGATAAATTTTTCACCAACTTTTCGATATTTTTAATTTAACATTTACTAGATAGTTTACTAGATATTTATACATGTCATTTGCCGAAATAAATCTTGTCTTAACAAGTATTAGCCCCACCCACCCACCCTCTATTTTCTTAGAAGGTATGTGATTTGCCAAAATCAGTATTATCTTAACAAGTACTAACCCCACCCACCCACCCTCTATTTTCTTGGAAGGTATATGATTTGCCAAAATCAGTCTTATCTTAGCAAGTACTAGCCCCACCCACCCGCCCTTTGTTTTCTCAGAGGATTTGTTATTTGCCAAAATAAGACTTATCTTATTTATCAAGTACTAGCCTCACCCATCCGCCCTTTATTTTCTCAGAGGCTAGTAGTTGTTAGTACTTGCTAATATAAGTCTTATTTTGGAAAAATGACATATCCTCTGAGAAAATAGGGGCTCAGAAAAGACTGATTTTGGCAAATCACATACCTTCCAAGAAAATAGAGGGTGGGTGGGTGGGCTAGTACTTGCTAAGATAAGACTGTTTTTGGCAAATCGCATACCTTCCAAGAAAATAGAGGGTGGGTGGGCGGGGCTAGTACTTGCTAAGAAAAAACTTATTTTGCCCCTCTTAAACTTGTAAAAACTTGATAATTTAAAAGGTGTTAAATTGCAAATTTCCATAGTAACGAGTTAATTTTTTTTGAGTCACACTGTTTAAGCAAATCCAAAAAATATGAATGCAGTAATAAATCACAGGTATAAACTCATTTTAGATTTAGATAGTATTTCTCCGGCAAAATTTTGAGATGACGTCATAATTTTTTTGGAGGGGATAAGCGAATATATGTTGATTAAAAAATTCTTTTGCTTCCTATAAATTTAATACATCTGCACGTTTTTAAAGCATTCAGCTTGGCAGATTCAAAATTATATTGCAAAATGTTTTAAAAAAATTTTGGACTCTTAACATGACTAAAAAAAATCCTAAAAACGTGAAGAATGCTTCCTTTAATTTTTATCAATCCTACAAGTATTAGGGGTCTTCAACATCCTAATTGTTATCTTATACACCTCAGAGAGTCTAAAGATTCCACAGATTCCAAAAATTTAAAAGATTTAAAGACTCTTGGGGTGTATTAATTTTAGAAAATTTGGAAATATCGAGAAAATGTTGATCTATGTTTGATAAATCTGCCTTGGCTTAAAGACCTAAAGATCGTAAAGATCGGAAAAATGCTTTCTTTAATTTTTATAAATCTTAGCGACTGTAAAGATTCCAGAGATTCCAAAAACTCCAAAGATTTAGGCTCTTGAGATCTATGAATTTTAGATAATCTGAAAAAATTTAGAAAGCGGTGGAAAAATGTGGTAGACCTAGAAATCTTGAAAATATTGGAAAAAATTTAATTTCAAAATTCTGGTATAACTGGAGCGTGATAATTTTAAAAATTTTGAAAAATGTGGAAATTCTGGTCTTTTTGTGTACTTCGAAAAATCTGAAAAATGGAGTGAGCCGTTCCTGACGTAATCAATAAAATAAATTGAACATCAATTAATTTTTTTGAGTCACCTGTACAAGCAAATCTAAAAAATATGAATGCAATGATAACTCACACGTAAAAACTCATGTCATTTTGCATATTTCGGGTAGATTTAGGAATTTACCTTGTTACTATGGAAATTTGTAACATAACACCTCTAAATTTCACAAGTTTTTACAAAATTAATACAGGCAAAATCAGTTTTATCTTAACAAGTACTTGGCCCGCCCACCAGCCCCCTATTTTCTCAGAAGATATGTCATTTGCCGAAATAAATCTTGTCTTAACAAGTACTAGCCCCACCCACCCACCCTCTATTTTCTTGGAAGGTATGTGATTTGCCAAAATCAGTCTTATCTTGGCAAGTACTATATTTTGTTTTCACTGAGATTAGCTATTTGTCCTTGTAAGATCCGCCTTTCACCTCAGAGCTAATAAAATCACTGTTATCTTAGCCATCTCCACTGATTTACTGTAAAATGAGGAATTGAATTCTCTTTTGACATGCTAAGATTTAAAACAAAGTCAAAAGTGGCCCCGTTTATCCACACTTATTCCATTTTGATTACCCATTTGGCTCTAAGACAGAAGTAGGATTTTATATTCACAATAATTAATAGAATCTGTTTAGGATTATATTTTTTAAATAAAATGAATGAATTCTAATAAGGTAACAATGTTGTCATTAAGTAACAGTATTAAGAATAGTCACTGGAATGAAGAGGGGGCGGGTGGGCGGGGTTATTACTTCCTTTTAAAAGACTATAGAAAAAAGCTAATTTTAGCCACGCCTACCTCATTTCTCCATTTGACTCATTTATTTTATTTACTGTTTTGTTAAGCAGTGGCCCCGCCCACCCACCCGTATTCCATTTTGATGACCCATTTTTATTGGCTCTCAGACTGAAGTTGGATTTTATATTGACAAATACTTAAATCTATTTAGGATTACAATTCTTTTATAAAAAATTAATTTTTATTCGAAAAACCACCTTGCCTTTAGGGTTTACACTTAAATAAATAAATAAAAGCTTCATATAAAGTAGACACAATCAGTTACAATTTTAAACGTGGAGCTTCTGCGAGTGGGAGGAGTGAAGATAAGCGAAGAAAAATGTTGCTGCCTCGGTGGGAATCGAACCACACGTCATCCGCTTGCCGGGCAAGTATCCTGACCACTAGACCACGAAGCTGCTTACCTTTCTCCGCTAATCAACGTGTTATTGTGCCGCCATAAGGAGCATAGATAATATTGCTTCTTAAATATGAGTCTCATATCTGGTATTCTTATTTAACATCAGCCTAGTAGTTTCTAGATATGTACCTTGTTCTACAATTTATCTATTTTTTTTTTTTTGGATTCTAAGAACAATGTTTTCATTAAGTAAGAATTCTGTTTTGACAAGCAGTAGAATCTAAGATTTAAAAAAAGACAAAAGTGCCCCTCCCCCCCCAGTTTGATGACCCATTTTTAATGACTCTGCGACAGAAGTTGGTATATTGACAATTAATAGAATCTGTTTAGGATTTTTTATTATTTTTCATTAAATTCTAATTTTTATTCGATAAACTATCTTGCCATCAGGGTTTATACTTAAATAAAAAACATCATATAAAATAGGCACAATGAGGTACACTTGTAAATGCCACCCTTCTTCTCCGGCCAATGAAACGATTTATAAGGTGGAGCTTGTGCGAGTGGGAGGGGCATCGGTAATATTGCTTTTTAAATATGATTTTCACATCTGGTATGCCTACGTAACACCAGATTAATACTTTTTAGATACCTTGTTCCATGATTTATTTATTTTCTCACCAATGGTTCAACAGATTCGTCTAGGATTCTAATTAGATAATAATGTTGTCATTAATTAACAGTATTAAGAATAGTCACCGAAATGAAGAGCGGGTGGGTGGGCGGGGCTATTGGTTGCTTATTAATGACTATAGAAAAAAGCCAATCTTAGCCCCACCTACTTCCTTTCTCCATCTCGCCCATACATTTTATTTACTGTAATATGGGAACTGAATTGTGTTTTGACAAGCAATAGAATCTAAGATTTAAAAAAAGTCAAAATTGGCCCCGGCCACCCACCCTTATTCCGTTTTGATGACCCATTTTAATTGGCTCTGCGACAGAAGTTGGTATATTGACAATTAACAGAATCTATTTAGGATTACACTTTTTTTATCAAACATTAATTAATAGTATTATGAGTTGTCACAATAAAAAAGATGGGGCGGGTGGGCGGGATTCTTGCTTCCTTTTAAAAAACTACCTTCTTATTCCATCACTCATTTATTTTATTTACTCTTTTGATAAACAGGAGAATAAAAAATTTAAAACAACCCACACTTGCTCCACTTTGATCACCTATTTTTATTGGCTCAATTTTTTTTTATTAAATTTTAATGTAATTTATTGCTTGCTTATAAAATACTGTAATCTTAGCCTCGCCCACCCACCCGTTTCCTGTGACTCATTTTTTTCCTGTGAGATAAATATATTTTAAATAGTATAACAAAAGAATTAGAGTTTTTTTCTTTCTTTATTAGTCGGTCATTCTGTCGATTTTTCTCCACCTTCAACTCTTTTCACAGGATTTGGCCCTATTTTTTATGATAATCCCAAGTTAAAATAAAGCCATCTGTAAACTGTTAAACTGTAAGTCAAGAAACATCTCATGCCTATGTTTCAAGCGAGTTTTCCATAAAAAAAAAATGCTAGGACGTGATCAACAAGGACAATTTGAATAGGCGCAGTGTAATACATAATAAAAAAAAACTCTGGGGCCCGGTCCCGACTTTGATCCTCACTACCTCAAGACGGATTAAACAAAATCAAGGTAAATTCATAAACCACAAGTACACGAGTATATTATTTCACAAACTTAATTAATTTTAATTTTAAAACAATTTTAGTTTTAAAAGGGTGTTTCTTCTCGAAACGTAATTTGTATTATTTTTTGTTTTGGTGGCTGCAGTGATTAAGTGTCACCACAAATATTTTATTAATAAAGATTTTATTACCATTATATTACATGAAACAACTGAATGGAACATGCTTTCATTAAACAAATACACTCTGTAGGTAACGTTGCGGTGCTTTATTATTTAACGCCATACTTACAGGCAATTTACTAACAATAGACCAATTAAAGGGGCCATAAATTGTGAGTAGCTGTCAACAGAGTTAACTGGGCGATATCAATTATTTTGGACCATACCAGGGCCATTGAACAAAAATTAGCATGACATATTCCAACGTTAAAGTGGGTGTAAGACTCTTAAAATTTACAAATATTGTGGGGTAATTAAAAATTGAATTCATTATCGGTCATTGTTTTTGCCTGTGTGAAACTGATGCTCTTTTAAATTCCAAGCAACAAAAAAAAAACAGAAAAGAGGTAGAGGGGAAACACTTTGAGAAAAACATAGCAGGAAAACAGTTCTTCTCATAGTATTTGCACTCTACATATTCATATACAATAATTAATTGTTATGTATGACGTTTGAGGCACAAACATGGCGGGTGTCATTTTTATTTAAAATTAAATAAAACAATAATAGTTATCTTCTTTTTTTTATGACTCAAGGATGACAGGTTGCTTTTTTCCTTCATGTATGGGTTAAAAATAAAATAAATGTATGTAATCGCATCATTACCATATTAAAACACCTACGTAGAAAAGGTAGGTTTACATAGGGTTACGTGTTCGATAATAAAAGGTTATTTTTCGATCAAATGATAGGAACCTCAGAAATACACTGTTAAAGAAATAAATGATAGAATAGCAAAAAAGGCACTAAATATGAATCGGCTCTAATGTAAAATTTGTTACTGTATTGAGAAACTCTATGCTAATGTCAAAATGTACACAATGATCTAAATACAAACTGGTCAACTATTTCTCTAAATTTGACCAACTTTCAACTTTTCCTGTATACATTTTTGCACATAATTATGTGTTTACACTTGTTAATATTTAGTTTTTCCGCACTTCCAAATTTATTATCATGAACAAAAATCTTAAAAATGTTGGCAATTAACGTAGACACCATAACGGTGATATCATAATCATAAACACCTCCTTGGAAATCGGGAATACCCATAAACCCAGCCATTAACACCCACTTTCCCGGAACTATACACCGAAAACTCAAAAAAGCGATAGTTTAGACCTGATTCCATCTAAAAATACTATAATTTTATTACAGAACTTACATATTCTTAGAAAACAGCTCAACACAATTACAACATAACCTAACACACACACGAGATTAATTAAAACTACAACTTTCACTCCAATTTTAAAACTTCACCACTTTTCACTGGACTGGTGTGTATTCTCCGACTGACTGACGTGTCGGTCTTGGAAATTCTGAAGATAACTCTTCACTTCTAGCTTAACAAGTAAACAATAATTTTGACATTTGACGTATGTTTATCTGAGGTGACAGTGACAGCAGGATGGAGGAACCGCGAGCCAGACAAAGATGGCCACACCTTGAACAAGGAAAGAAAGCTGTTCGCTGATCCAATTAAACCAAAATTGTGCAATGCACATCATATCCTATTTGTCAATGATTTCAGGGCCAACAACAAATCAAACTCAAATATTATAATAAAAAAACTTTATTCAGCAACACTTCAAGGTAAGCATACAACAATTATCACAATTTTTTTTTGAGTTTGTCCTACTCAGGAGTTATTTTTTTCCTAGTTTGTTGTTCGTGTGTCTTCTGGGGGCCCACCGTAGCGCTGTACTGTCGACACACAAACGGGGTCTTTTATACTGGCTGGAGCGGATGTGCTCTTCCACCAGTTTAGGGGTCACACAGATCACGTGTTGGCCTTTCCAGTACTTGACCATGTTCATGCTCTGTAGGGTGGAAATGATGTCAGTTTGCGTAATACTGGTCATTTGGCTGTAACAGTAATAAATTAAACAATTAAATTAACTAAGTGTGACAAGTACCTCAGATCTTTAATTGACAGCGTCCCTCTGAAGTCCCGCAATATTTCTAGTAAAACCCAGCTCCAGTAGCTTCTGTAGCTCAGTTTGCCTAAGTCACTGAGGGGTTGCTCAGGGCTGCCAACCGTGCCTTCGAGTCGGGACAGCTCGTAACTGAAAGCTATCAGTAATTTGCCGTATCCTTGTCTTTGGTATGGGGGTAGTGTGAGAATGCACGCTACGTTGTTTCCATCCGGAGATTCTTTTTCTTTTGAGAAGTAGCCCACGATGTGGGCTCCTTGTTTGTCTACTTCGCATAGAATGTAAAATAGGAAGGGTTCCACGTCGAAGTAGAGGGTTTTGTGGTCTAGGAAGAGTTTCGCAAGAAGGCAAAGATTCTGGCAATATATCTACAATAGGGGTTTTAGTATATTTTAATTTTGGGTTTTTTGGTTTTTACTTTGTAGTCTTTTCCATCCACTTCGTAGACGGAAAGGGTGCCTTTTCTGTATATTTCTTTGCCAACGGGTTGCCTCGATGTGCACTCACTCTGAAATGGATAATACAAGGAACTGAGAATGGCGACCCCCTGAGAGATTTTAAATACTTGTAAAAACCGAATTTAGAGGTTAGATTAAAACGACAATTCTGTGTGTATTTTTAGGGTAAATTGAGTTCTTGGTGGAATGTTAAATTGTGAACAAACTTTAAGTGATTCCAATAAGAATTCTCTCAAAAGGCTCGAACTCCAGAATATCTCAAAAGAACTTCGGTGAAGTTCAAAAAATCTTAAAAAACCCGAAAACATTGCTGTGCGTATTTTTGGGTTAATCAAATTTTGATAAAGTCCATATTAATAAATTCAAAATATGCAAAGATTTTTCAAGAACTCCGAAAATTTCATTAAATACATACACCGTTTTGAAACCAATTCTAGTACAGTATTAAATAATGTTTGTTACGTAAATTTTTGAAATGACACTAAAATTGTTAGCGAGGATGGCAATACGAATTTTGGTTGAAAAATCTAGAAGACATGAAAGTAGTCAGTCGCTCGATGGACTCTATTATAATACTTTCCTAGCGAAGATAGAAAAAAACTGAAAAAAAATCCAAAAAAGTGAAAAGAAAGGACAATAAATGATTGAAATAAAAAAAAATACAAAAAATCACAAGGGTCACAAATCCCGTTAAAAGGGACAATAAATTAAAAGTCTTTCAATGGGGAGTTAAAACAACCACATAACACTAAAAAAGCTTCAAATAAAAAGAAGAAATAATATGTCAAAAAGATTAAAAAATACCAACGACAAAAAAAGTGACCAAAAGGGAAATGGGAATTGCAAAAAAGGCAAAAAAGGAGGACAAAAAATGCGTTAAAATAGCGGGGTTGAAATGGGGACGAAGAAGGGACAAAAAAAAAGATTAAATAAAAAATAAAAGTCGTTAAAAAGCAGTACTAAAAATAGACAAAAAAAACACAGATAAAAAGTGCGTCTAAAGAATGCGACAACAAAAACCTGCGGGAAAAGTGAAAAAAAAAATTTTTTAAATGATGAAAGAAAAATATAAGGATGTATTAAAAAAGGACAAAACGAGACAAAAAAAATCAGGAAAAAAAAATAAAAGGCGGGAGGGAAAAACGTTATTGCACACAAATTAGTTGTGTTAAAAAACTCAAGGTGGATTCATAAATCACCTGTACAGAAATGTGTTCTTTTATAAAATGTAAAAGTTTACTATGCAAAATTTTTTAATGACGTCATCAAATTGTTGGCGGCAATCGCAAGACAAAGTTTAGTAAGCATTTTACCATCTCTGTAGATATAGATGTAGCATCCCTAGTGAAGAAAGAAAAATGACAAAAAAATAATTAAAAAAAAAACAAGACAAGGCGACAAAAAATGATAACAAAAAACAATTAAAAAAAGGCAAAAAAGTGACAAAAAAAAGCACGACACAAAAAAGGTGGAGGGGGAGTGCAATAAAAAAATAAGAAAAAAGAGCCCCCAAGAGACACCAATACGCATTAAAAGGGACAGTAAAAACCCTTAAAACGGGGGGTTCAACTGACCACATAAGAAAAAACTAAAAAAAAAAAACAAACAAGAAAAAAAGTGTAAAAATAAGACAAAGAAGCGGCCAAAGGTGAGGGAAATGAAAAGAGGACAAAGGACGTGTTAAAATAGAAGGGAAAGAAATGTGGACGAAAAAGGGCCAAAAAAAGTAACAAAAAAAAACACCAAGGGAGAAAAAAACAAAAAAGCGGGACCAAAGCACAAAAAAAGAGTCCTAAAAATAAGCAAAAAACGCAGAAAAAATGCATTAAAAGAATAACACATAAAAAAATCTGAGGAAAAGAGAAAAAATCAAAGAAAAGACGAAAGAACAGGTAAAAAATGGCAACAAAAAAAAAACGGCAAAAACGCGACCAAAAAGTCAAAAAACGAGACAATAAGTCAGGAAAAAGGGGTGGGAGGGAAAAGCATCATTGCAAAATTTTTAAATGACATCAAATTGTTGGTTGGAATGGCAAGACAAATTTTGGTAAGCGTTACATAAATTCTGACACCAACCGATCCAGTAGTTTCGGAGATTATCTGCCTAATAAAAATGGAGACAAGCGGAAATGGGAGACCACTACTTTCCTATTCTAGGGGTCATGAAAAGTCCAGAAAACATGAAAGTATCCAGTCGCTCGATGGACTCTATTACACAACCGACCACATAACAACAAGAAAAAATATGTCAAAAAGATTACAAAAAATCCTAAAAAAGCGGTCAAAGAGGGGAAGGGCAGTAAAAAAAAGGCGAACAAAAGAGGACAACAGACTTTAAAAAACCACCAAAGGAGAAAAAAAAAGGGTCAAAAGTTGGGTAATAAAGGCCGTTAAAAAGGAGTCCTAAAAATAAGCAAAAAACACAGGAAAAAATGCACTAAAAGAATAACACACAAAAAAATTTGAGGCAAAAGTGGAAAAAATTCAAAGAAAAGACGAAAGAACAGGTAAAAATGGCAACAAAAAAAAAAACAATAAAAAAAAAAGAGGGCAACAGAAAACGAGACGCAAAATGGGGACAAAATTTTTGTAAAGTAGATATGATAAGAATTCAAGATGGATTCATACATCACCAGTGCAGGAATATGCTATTTTATAAAATTTAAATAGTTTTTACTACGCAAAATTTTGAGGTGAAACCATCAAATTGTTGGTGTGAATGATTAGACAAATTTTGGTTACCGTTTTACCATCTATACGATGCTCCTAAAATACATGTAAAATTTGACGACAATCGGTCTAGTAGTTTTGGAGAGTATCTGTGTAATTAAAATCAACACAGACGACAAACAAACGGAAACAGGAGACCACCGTTTTCGTATTCTAGGAGTCATGAAGCGTCGAGAAAACAAAAGATGAAAAAGAAAAAAAACGAGATAAAAGCCACAAAAAAACAACAAAAAAGCTTCAAATAAAAACAAGAAAAAAAAAGTAAGAAATGAAAATTCTATGTGTATTTTTTTTTGAGTAAATTGAGTTGTTGGTGGATCGTTAAATTGTGAACAGAGTTTAAGGGATTCCAATAAGAATTCTCTCAAAAGGCTGTAACTCCAGAACATCTCATTAAAAGAACTTTGGTGAAGTCCAAAGAATGTTTAAAAAACCCGAAAACATGATAGTAAATCCATCTAATTCCTGCGTATATTTTTGGGTTAAACAAAATTGTTGGTAGAGCGTTAAATTCTGAACCAATTTTAATTCCAAATCGAATATTCTCGAATGGCATTAAATTAGTATAAAAGACATTTTGGTAAAGTCCAAATTAATAATTCAAAATATCCAAAAATTTTTCGAGATCTCCGAAAATTTCATTAAATAAATACATCGTTCTGGAACCAATTCTGGTACAGCGTACAATGGAAAAACGTGGTGACAATCTCCTTATAAATATATTTAAATACACCCTTTAAAGTAGAAAAACTGGCCCAAAGGTTAGTTAGACTAAAGTTAAACATTCAAACAATTCAAGTAATAATTAATATCGTATGATGCCTTTAAAACACATAAACTGCCACCAACCGGTCCAGTAGTTTCGGAGATTATCTGTCTAATAAAAATGGAGAAAAGCGGAAACGGGAGATCACGATTTTCCTAAGTTCTAGGGGTCATGAAAAGTCGAGAAAACATGAAAGTATCCAGTCGCTCAATGGACTCTATTATACAACACGTCCCAAGTGTAGAAAGACAAGATAAAAAATAATAATTAAAAATACCAGAAAAGGCGACAAAAAATGACAACAAAAAACAATTTGAAAAAAGGGCAAAAAGGTGACAAAAATGACGACAAAAAGGGTGGGCGGAGGGCAATAAAAAAAGAGTCCACAAGAGACAATAGTACATATTCAAAGGGACAATAAAAAACCTTAAGACGAGGGGGGGGGGTTAAACCAACCACATAACAACAAAAAAGCTTCAAATAAAAACAAGAAAAAACATGTCAAAAAGATTACAAAAAATTCCTAAAAAAACGACAAAAAAACGGCCAAAGAGGGGAGGAGGAAGGAAATGAAAAAAGCGCGAACAAAAGAGGACAAAAGATGTTTTAAAATAGGAGGGCAAGAAATGTGGACGACAAAGAGACAAAAAAGCACCAAGAGAGAAAACAACAAAAAAAGTGGGAGCGAAGTACAAAAAAAGATTTAAAAGGAGAACTAAAAATAAGCAAAACATAAAAAAATGCATTAAAAGAATAACACAAAAAAAATAAGGTAAAAGTGGAAAATAAATCAAAGAAAAGACGAAAGAACACGTAAAAAATGGCAACAAACGAGACCAAAAATCAGGGAAAATGGCAGGAAGGAAAAGCATTATTGCACAGTTTTGGAAATTTTATTCTACCCTATAAAATTTTATTGGCAATAACGACATGGACCGTAGTACAATAGCAAAAGATATTTACAACTTAAAGTTGTCGCGTGCCGGTAATCCCCAGATGTTAGAAAGCAGAATAATCCAGATCCGGACAAGGACCATCGTTACTCACGAAAGAGAATGACCATTATTTTATGAGTAGAACTACCTGCTAAATGTTCTCCGTCAAATTCGGGTGAAATGGTGTGAGCTATGAATATTCCTTACCATTGTACTACTGACCGTCTCGTTATTGTCAATAAAATTTTATAGGGTAGAATGAAATTTCCAAAACTATACATGCAAAATTTGATGATAAAAAATCAATCGGTCTAGTAGTTTTGGAGAGTAAGTGTCTAATAAAAATCGACTCAGACGACAGACAGAGACCACTTTTTTCGTACTTTAGCGTCGAGAAAACAAAAGATGAAAAAAAAACGCAATGAAAGCGACAAAAAAACAACAAATAAAAACAAGAAAAAACATGTCAAAAAAAAGGAGGAGAAAAAAATGCGACAAAAAGAAACGTATTAAAAAAGGACAACCAATCGAGATTAAAAATTGGACTAAAAAAAAAGACTATAAAAAACACGACGAAACAGAGTGAAAAAAACGTGTCAAAAAAATGCTACAAAAAAGATGATAAAATAGAAAAAAGCGCCAAAACGCCAATAAAAAATAGTACTCAAAATCGTCAGAAAAAGTGCGTCAAAACAAAAAAAGCGGCAAGAAACATGGGTAAGAGTGAAAAGAAATTAAAGAAAAACCGTAACAGGACAAAAAGCGACAAAAAAAACAAAAAAAATTAAAACTGGGAGGGAAGAGTAAAAAAAGATGAAAATAAATATATTCATTTGAAGTTCAACATTCAAATTTTAGAGAAAAAAAAAAAAAAAAAAACCCGCCGACTAGGATCAGCAGAGTAAATCGACCACCACAGCTTGCGTAAGCCAGACATCGACTATGCAAATATTGCACAATTTTTTTTGTAAAATGATTGTGAAAAAATCAAAGCGGATTCAAAAACCACCAGTATTTAGGAGTATGTTATTTTTAAAATTTAAATAGTGTTTACCATGCAAAATTTTGAGGTGACATCATTAAATTGTATAAAATTTGATGATAAAAATTATTATAAATCTATTATTATCTATTATTTAAAAAACTTCGCTACAGGATGTTTCTTTTATTTGATACTACCCCTGTAACTTTTTTATTCTTAAAGATAAACCTGTGGTTCTTGACGCCAATTTCTATTATTTTAAAAGATCTACGTGGTGGCAACCTCACATTTTTATTATCACTTCCGGTACAACCGGAAATAACGTCAACTTTCTTTTTTTTATGGAACATTTGGTATATTTTTTCATAAATGGAAAAATTGTTTTTTTTTCTAAAAAATCAACAGCAACCAATATTCTAAAAGCAATTCTTAAGTTATTCAATAAAATGCACTGATATATTTATATTTAAATGAAAATATGTTTAATAATGATCTTTTGAAATGGTAAAAGTTTTAAGGACAAATATATCAAACTTGATAAGCACACTGGAACACTAATGAAAACGTTATAACTTTACCAAGATTGGGAGACTCAACAATGTAAACAGAAAATTTTTGACACTTCATGTGTAGAATAAGAAAAAAAATTACAAAAATTGTCGAAATCCAATTGGACCCATTTTTCCAATGATGCATTTTTTTTAATATGGCGTTACTGTGAATGCTTTAAAATGGAATGTACAAGTACACTGAGTAAGATATCAGGGTGCGGATTTCTAAAAAAAAAAAATTTTTAGAAAAAAATCAACAACCACTGAAATAAATTTCCTACTGAACCTGGGAACAATTAGAATTACTAAAAATGACAATACTAGATCCAACCTAAAAAGCCAGATTTGCTGATTGTTCTGTCAATACTCTTTTCTGCAAGATTGAAGTTTTATCATTTTAATTTACTCATTAGGAAATTTTTAAAAATGACTGCGTTATATCATCAGGGAAGTTATGAGGACGAGGTCATCACTCAAATCATAGGATCCAAATATTTCCTACTTATCAGGTATTTTAAACAATGTGAAGCGATTTTTGATGTTCTGAATTTTTAAATAATCTAAGAAAAGTTCAAAAAATTCAAAAATTATATACTTCAATGAAAATTCTCACTTTAAATGCCATTAGAATTACAAAACCCTATTTTATTTTGAGAAAAAATTCTCTGTATTTTAAATTACAAAAAAACGGCTTACCATGTGGTACCTGTAACTCTTTTCTAACCTCATATACTTTAAACAGTACTCGCAAATCCACAACTTGCTTTGGCGCCCGTATTCCTCGGGATATGGGCTAAAATACCAAGTGTCAATCTCAAACCTCCCTATCTGAATTTTATCAATATATTTGACTTTGGTTATCTGCTCATGTTCTTTTTCGAGAGCTGCAGTTGTGGGATCCATCTCCGCATATCTATCAACAACATGCAACAACATTAAAAAGACCCGCCTTCCCATAAAACCCATCATTACGTTTTCTGAATGTGATTAATCTCGTCGTGCCTCCTCTTCTGGTTCCTGGTGATTTTTCTATCCGAACTGTCAGACAATAAATCAGAAACTAGCGGCCTCTCTTTCCACACTTTATCCGACGTGATTTTCTGCCCGCTCTCCGTCAAATTAAACCTCGAAGACATTATCCGGGCCCGTGGTACCTAAATCCAACTTTACACAACAAAGCCACTAACCTCTCACCACCTTACCCATTCATCCAATCGCCGATTATATCCCTCGTAGTGGACGTAGTACTCGTACTCATTGTCCCCATATCGCGTCTGAATTATCTCAGCAGGATCTGGAATAAATAAAAATTCACAACCATAGTAACATCGTAAACAGAAACAATGAGGTTAGGGAATGTCACTCACGCCAAGTATCGTCGGATCTCCGCACCAAATAGTGCTCCCCGATGTCCAGGGGTTGTTCTTCGACACTTTCGTTGTCTTCATCGTGTGATTGTGCAGGTTTTGTATCGTTCTCTGACTTCTTTCGCATGGTTTCAGAAGGCGTCTCTTGAGGTTTGTTGTTATCAGCCATCTTGAAAATTTGCAAGAGTTGGAAGTGCGCATGCTTGAAAATTTTGTGGCGGTTTTTTAAATTCGGAAGGATTTGGAAAGTCGGATCTTCCATAGAAACCGATGGATTATTTTGGATGGGTTGGTTGTTTTAACGGCCTTCCTGCTTGTTTGAATGGGGGTGGAATGGAGGCTGCAAGGGGGACACTGAGGTGACAGGAGCTGATTCGACTCGGTCATTTTTAAGCGAATATGGGTATATTTCTGGTGGTTTTTATTTCAAATGGTTGGTGAGAGGTCTGCAGGATAATTTACTCATTAACGAATATTTTGTTTCAGTTTGGTATGAAAATGAAGTTACAAACCGCCAAAAATATGCTACCGGTTAAATATTTCCAAAACTGTTTAGCTCAGATTTTCAAAATTTTTTTTATAAAATTACATTAATATTAAAAATATGCAATATGAAAGTTTGATGTTTAATTATAATTATATAAAAACGTGGAAAGTTAATTTTGGCCTTAAAACACAATTTTGAAATAAATAAATACAATCACAAATATTGAACAGCTATTTAATGAGTTTGAAACGACGACGTCATTAACTTTCAAGAACAGATGAATAAATACATTATAGATCAGTTATTAACAAATCAATATTACTATCTATTTGATAAGATAAGTTTTATGGATAATTGGTCTATGTGGAGTCCAGATTAGAAGTCAACTATATTGTGAAAATAATTTTGTGTATTCTAAATGAGATTACTGAACTTTTAGTTAATCAGAAATTTCGAACAGACAGTCAGACGGCAACGGGAAATCGGCATTTTCATATTACATCCCAAGTGAAACGCAAAGAAATCATAGAATGAGAGCAGTTCGAATTTTTATATTTTTCAAGTATATTTGTACATTTATTACAATATTTTCTTGGGTAATAAAAAATTGGCTTAAAGTTATTTAGACAGAACTTCCCTGATTCCAAAAGTACATTCAAAAAACCCTAAGACACTAAAAGAAGACAAAAACGCAAAAAGAAGTCCCAAAAAAATTGACAAAAAACGCACCAGTAAAAAAGTAACAAAAGAAGTAATAAAAAAAAACAGGGAATAAAAACACGAAAAAAGGTCAAAGAAAGGGAGCAGAAGAGGTGACTAAAACAGGACAAAAAAGGCGATTAAAAAATAATAACAAAAAAGAGAAAAAAACGTGACAAAAAACGTAAAAAATAGGAGCCACAAAAAGTGGGACAGAAGACGACCACGGGGAATAAAAGGAGCAAAAAAACTCGCGAAAATAAAAAGGTCCTGGGGAAAAAGGTAAAGATTGTGGGAAAAAATAGGGAAAAAACGATCAAAAAGGAACAGAATAAAGTGACAAAAAAGGAACTGAAAATTCAGAAAAAACAACAAAAGAAAAGCGAGAAAAATTCCACACGGGCGACAAAAAAGTGGAAATAAGTGACAAGAAACTGTAGGAAGAGGCCAAAAATGGGCCAAAAAGATGCGATAAAAAAGAGACAAGAAAAGGCTATAAAATTTGGATACCAAAGCCGATAGAAAAAGGCGATGAAAAAGGGGATAAAAAAATAAAACAAAAAAATGGCAGCAAAAACAAAAAAAAGAGACCTAAAAAGTGGCTATAAAAAGGGAGAAAAAGGTGTCAAAAGAAGGAATTAAATACGAAAAAGAGGCGATAAAAAAAATGTCAGAAAAGATGCGAAAAAAGCAACAAAAAACCCAGGGAAAGAGTGAAACAAAAAGGCAAAAAAAAAAACAATACAAAAACGAGTTTAAAAATGGAAAAGAAGAAAAGAAAAGGGGACAAAAAAGAGGCAACAAAGAAAGAGGCGAAAAAGAGTGAGGTAGAAAAAGAGACGACAAAGAAGCGACAAAAAAGGGCGTTTAAAAAAAGTGGTAACACAATAAAAAGGGCAAAAAAAAGAGGACAAAAAACCGGGAGAAAAAAGGTCATAAAAAGGAGACAAAAAAAACTCGCTAAAGTACGAAGGGAAAGTGAAAAAAGGACGAAGAAAAATAACTTGACAAGAAAATAGCAACAAAAAAAAGGCGAAAAAAAGGTAAAAAGAAAGGACGTTAAAAAAGGGACAACACAGAAACGCAGAAAAAAGAGGACAAAAGTTGAGAGAAAATAGAAGACCTTAAAAAAAAGTGCAAAAACATCAAAAAACAAGGAAAAGGTAAAAAAAAAATGGATAACAAAATGTGATAAAAAGGGATAAAGAACTGAGAAAAAAAAAATAGGATCAAAAATAGGTAATAAAAAAAGAGGACGAAACTTGTGAAAAGAAGGGCTAAAAAGAATGACATCAAAGGCGACAAAAATTGGATACAAAGCCGTTACTAAGGAAGAGGTATAAAAAGGAGAAAAAAGTAAGAAAAATAGGACAAAAATGAGGTAAAAAAAGACGATAAGAAAAAAATAAAAAAGGCGATCAGAAAATGACAACAAAAGACTATAAAAAAAAGAACGAATACGCGACAAAAAAAAACACAAGATTGAAAAAAGATGGAAAAGGGGACAAAAAACCGAGGGAAAAAGTGAAAAAAAAAGGCGATAAAAGCAATACAAAAGAAAGGACAAAAAGCGACAAAACAACAGGATAAAAGCTTAAAAAAAGACGGAAAAGAAAGACGAAAAAGCAGAAACAAAAAACGTAAAATAAAATGCTAAAAAGACGCTACAAAAACAGGCGACAAAAAAAGACGACAAAAAGTCGAAGAAACCGTAAAAACAAGACGGAAAAAGAATCCAAAAACGAGTTTAAAAACGGAAAAAAAGAAAAGAAAAGGCAACGAAAAAGAAATTACAAAGAAAGAGACTAAAAAGAGAGGGATAAAAGAAGAGATTACCAAGAAAAGACAAAAAAGGCAGAAAAAGATGACAAAGAATCAAGAGAAAAAAAGAGAAAAAAAAACACGAAAAACGCGGCAGAAAAATCTCTAAGTACGGGGAAAAAGTGAAAAAAGGACGAAGAAAAATAGGTCAAAGGAACGCTACGAAGGACAGGCGACAACTTAACTTGACAAGAAAATAAACCAAAAAAAAAAGCCGAAAAAAACGGGCGAAAAGAATGGACGTTAAAAAAGGGACAACACAAAACGCAGAAAAAAGCAGAAAAAAGGTTAAAAACACGAAAAAAAATGGACCAAAAAAAAAGTGACAAAAAGGGACAAAGAATAGAGAAAAAAAAATGGAAACAAAAATATGTCATAAAAAAAGAGGACGAAACTTCACAAAAGAAGGGTTAAAAAGGACGGCATAAAAGACGATAAAAATTGGATGCAAATCCGATACAACAATGATAACAGAAAGAGGTAATAAAAACAGGACAAAAATGAGGAAACAAAAAAGACGATAAGAAAGAAATAAAAAAGACGATCAGAAAATGGTAACAAAAAAGACTATTAAAAAAGGACGAATAAGCGACAAAAAACAACAAAAATAGTGAAAAAGTTGAAAAAAAGATGAAACAGAGGCCAAAAAAAAACAAAAAAATGACAGTAAAAAAAAGAAACCCAAAAAAATGGCTATCCAAATGGAGAAAAAAGTCTCAAAAACGAAATAAGTGAAGGGCTAAAAATAACACAAAAAAACAGGAACAAAGATGCGACAAAAGCGATAAAAACCGAGGGAAAAAGTGAAAAAAAAGACAAAAAATGCAGTAAAAAACCGAGTTTGAAAACGGGAAAGAAGAAAAGAAAAGGCGACGAAAAATACAGAACAATGAAAGAGGCAAAAAAGAGTAAGGTAAAAAAAGAGACGACAAAGAAGGGACAAAAAGGACCTCCAAAAAAAAGTGGCAACGCAGAAAGGGCAGAAAAAAGAGGACAAAAAAACGAGAGAAAAAAGGCCATACAAAGGAGACAAAAAAACGATGAAAAATTCGTCAAAAAACTGAACCAAAGAAATGTAATAAAAATGGACAAAGAATAGAGAAAAAAAAAATTCAAACAAAAATAGGTATCAAAAAAAAAGAGGGCGAAACTTCACAAAAGAGGGGCTAAAAAGGACGACATAAAAGGTGAAAACAGAAAGAGGTAATAAAAGCACGACAAAAATTATCCAAAAAAAACGAACAGAAAGAAATAAAAAAGGCGATCGGAAAATGGAAACGAAAAAAGACAATAAAAAAAGGACGAATAAGCGACCAAAAACCAATAAATAGAGTGAAAAATTAAAAAAAAAAAGTAAAAGGAGACAAAAAAAATAAAACAAAAAAATGGCAGTAAAAAAAGAGAAAAAGAATGTCAAAAAAGACATTAAATAAGGGGCTAAAAATACATAACAAAGATGCGAAAAAAGCGACAAAAAAAAGCGGGAGAAAAAAGTGAAAAAAAGAAGAAAAAAGCAATACATAAGAAAGGTCAAAAAAGCGACAAAAAAACAATAAAAAACTAGGAGAAAAGCTTAAAGAAGACGGAAAAGAAAGACGAAAAATCGGAAACAAAAGAACATTAAATAAAGTGCTAAAAAAGATAATTAACAAAGACGAGAAAAAAAGACGCAAAATGGTGACAAAAACAAATAAAAAAAGATACAAAAATGCTAAAAGAGTGTTAAAAAGACGTTACAAAAATAAGCGGCAAACAAAAGACGTCAAAAAATCGGAGAGACTGTGAAAATAATACGAAACAAGAATGCAAAAACGAGTTTCAAAAGAAAAAATGAAAAGGCGACGTAAAAGAAGAAACAAAGAAAAAGGCGAAAAAGAGAGGGGTAAAAAAAAGAGATGAGAAAGAAGGGACAAAGAGGACAAAGAAACGAGAGAATAAAAGAGACAAAAAACAATACGAAAAACGTTGCAAAAAAACAGCTGAAGTACGGGAAAAAGTGAAAAAAGGACGATGAAAAATGGGTCAAGGAAAGTCCACAAAGGCAAGGCGACAAAATAATTTGACAAGAAAATAGCAACAAAAAGAAGGCGAAAAAAAAGGGTAAAAAGAAAGGACGTTAAAAAAACGGACAACACAAAAAGGCAGAAAAGGGGGACAATAGAAACAGAAAAAAAAGACCTTAGAAAA